TCTCTCATTACAATAGTAGTAACTTCTTACTATAGAGAATGTGGAAACTACAGAGAATGAAAGAGAAACAAAATTATCTATATGATCATTAACAAAAACCTGTTAATGGTTTGCCATTTTATGCAGAATTACATATATGTACTTCCACTGTATAAAGAAATGCATAGCTTGATTTTGAACTTCACGTTACACCATAAGCACCTTTCTACAACATTAGAAATACTTGTAAACATTTTAAACTAGCGAACTGAGTCAAGAAGTGATTTTGCATGTATAATCTTGTTTCCTAAGTCATGACTTTAAAAACAAAAGTCAAGGCAACTGTATCGCTTCAAAAGAACACCTAAGCCTTAAAGTAAATCCTAATCAGCCCGGCCAGTGTGGCCCAGTGGATTGAGCATCATCCCATGGACTGAGAGGTTCCGGTTTGATTCCTGGTCAGGACACATGCCTGGCTGGGTTGCAGGATCTATCCCCCATAGGGGGCATGCAGGAGGCAGCCGATCTGTGTGTCTCTCTCACATCAATGTTTCTCTCTCTCTAAAAGATCAATACAAACATATTAAAATAAATTCTAATCTTGTTTTCTTGTGACTATATCATTGAATATTTAATATGATTAATCAGTCATGTGTCCTACTTTATTTTGACTGAAATTTTATACATACGCATATATGTAAGGATCCGTAAGTAGGATAATAGTACACCTGAGATTACCCTGCATTTTCATCATCATATCATCATCATAAACACACATATACACACACTTATGTTTCTCTGGGATTGATTTCTAGGTTTGGATGCCTGAGTGGAAGGAGGCAATATGTCCGAGTACACAAACTGCTGACAAGAATAAACATTGGCCCTCAAGTTTTCCCAGAGTCTCTGAGTACAGAGGAGACCTCTTTGTTGCTTTGCTTTACGCTTCCCTTGGCGACATAAAGTGTCCCTTTGTGTCTCAGCCACCCAGACTTGCCTTGCTTAGGCACGCCTGTTCTCAGACTTCGCCCATATTTGTCTGGGCTATTGATCTTTTCTGATTAATTTCTAATATATTTTTGTAGGATCCAGCCATTAGCCCATTTCTCATTTGCATAGCAAATATTTGTTCTAAATTTTACTGTTTTTCATTAACTTGTGGTTATTTTTTGCTATCTGTTTCTTTAAACTTTTATAATTTGATATTCCCCTATTATCTTTTATTGCTTCTGCGTAGCTAGCTGGTGTATTCATTTCCTGTGGCCACTGCAACAAATTGATACCAACTATGGCTTAAAACACAGACATGTGTTCGCTCACAGTTCTGGAGGGAGGAAGTCTGCAGTCAGCTTCACTGGGCTGAAGCCAAGGTGTCAGCAGGGGGCCTCCCTGGGAGCTCCTGGTGGGACACACACCTTCCCCTGCCAGCTTCTGGTGGCTGCTGGCGTCCCCGGCTTTCTGCTCTGTCGCTCCCACCTTCCAAGCCAGCACCTCCTCTGCTCATCTCCCAGCACCTGGTCCCCTGGGGGTCACAGCCCCTCAGCCTCTCACACCGTGCACTGTGATTGCACGTGGGTCCATCACATCAGCCAGGATGGTCTCCTCGTCTCACAGTCCTGAAGCACACCTGCCAAGGTCCTGTTCCAAACAGGTAACATCTGTCTGCTCCAGATTAGGACCAGACATCTTTGCGGGTCGTCATCTTTCCTGCAGCTTGGACAAGGTGTCCCACTCCAGGGCTGTGCGTGCATAAAGTGGCCGAGATTTCCTTGAAGGTCTTGGTATGTCCTTATTCTGCCTGAGAACCTTCTTTTTTTAAAATGTTGTACTTATAATAGAAGGGTCCATCCACCTGGGCCAGATTGAATGACTTTATCTTTTTCTCCGACTCAATTAGGGTAGCACTTTTGTTATTGATAAAAGTCATGTTTGCACCATTTCTGGATTCTCTATTAAGTTATGTTTTATTTCTCCATTCCTGTGCCTCTGCTAGACTAATGTGAGCACTGTGGCTTTATGGTACGTTCTTTTTTATAATACTGACAGCATTTCCAGTTAGAAATTTCTCTCTGACACACGATGCGGCTTTATTTCCTGGCTTTGCTGTGAAGTACTCACCTATTCATGGTTTTCTAGAGAGTGCAAAATTCCCCTTTTCTGTCTTTCCTTTGATGTAAAAATAATTTTCATAAGATTTGTTTTATGATTTGCATGTTAGTGGCTGGTTTCTCATTTTGTTAGATTATGAGCATAGAATGAACCCTGTGGAATATCTCATTTTAACTTTTGTTCAGGTTTTCTGAATGTTATTAAAGGATTTTTGTAAATGTTCCACAGACAACTAAAATTTATTTTAAGGGTTGCTGTATAGAATGAGGAATATATATAAATGTATACATGTAATGCCCGGCCGGTGTGGCTCAGTGGTTCAGCGTCGACCCTGCACCAAGAGGTCACTGGTTCGATTCCCGGTCAGGACACATGCCCAGGCTGTGGGCCCGATCCCCAGTGGGGGGCGTGCAGGAGGTGGCCAGTCGATGTTCTTTCTCCTCGATGTTTCTATCTCTCTATCTCCCTCTCCTTTCCTCTCTCTCTAAAATCAATAAAGAAAAAAAAAGTCTTAAAACATTTATAAAAATGTATACATGTAATCAAGCTTATTGATAATGTTATTTAATTTTCATATATCCTCATTGATTTTTTATTAGGTTGGTCTAATGTTGAGAGACATATTATATTGTGTTAGTGTTTTAATTTCATCTTGGTTAATTTTTGCTTTATATATTTAGCTGCTGTGCTATTTGGTACATACTGATTTATAACTGTCATAGCTCCACAAACATAGCCATTACGTAATAATGGCCTAGTTTTCCCCATCTCTTACATTTAAGTCGTCCCCAATTCTTTTTTTTAATTTGCTAATTTAAATATTTTATTTTTTACTCTTAAGTTTTTAATCCTCACCCAAGGACATGCTTCCACTGATTTTAGAGAGAGGGGCAAGGAGGGGGAGAGAGAGAGAGAAACACGGATGTGAGAGTGAAACATTGATCAGTTGCCTCTCACATGCACCCTGACCGGGGATGGAACCCGAGACCTTTGGGTGCATGGACGACACTCCAACCGACTGAGCCACACTGGCCAGGGCCCTCCCCAACTCTTATTCTAATTTTTACTGAGATTCTTAATCCTGTTGGTTATAGATGAGTGTTTCTCGACCTTCTTTCCATTATCACCTTACTAAGGAGTTGTTTTTTTTAGAATATGTTTTTCCTGCCTGGCCAGTGTGACTCAGTGATTGAGCATTGACCCATGCACCAAGAGGTCTCCGGTTTGACGCCTGGTCAGGGTACATGCCCAGGCTGTGGGCCAAATCCCCAGTGCGGAGCATGCAGGAGGTGGCCAGTCGATATTCTTTCTCATCAATAATTCTCTCTTCCTCTTCCTTCTTCTCTCTCTAAAATCAATAAAAAGAAAAAAAATTTTTTTTAAAAAGAATATGTTTTCCTAATTCTGCCCCTCCATGAAATTTTAATACTACAGATATATTTCACATTTACTGTATGTATACATGTGTTTTATTCATAAAAACAGCAACTTATACACACACACACACACACACACCAATTCTCAGCTCCTTCAATATAATAGACCCCCACAGAGAATTCACATAATAGATTCTCAGTAGACCTTCGCCTGTGATGTGTCTCTTCTATTTCCAGAATCTTTATTTAGCAGGTACATCAATCACATCTCTATAAGCTATTGCTCATCACTTGTATCTTCTCCCCTTCATCCTCCTTGATGGTGTTTGGTGTTATTTACTATTTGGTTAGAGTCCATCCTTGACTACATTCCTCATATGGGTTATGTAGGTAATATCGTCTCTATATCACTATATAACTGCAAATATTTCTTTCATTCATCTCGGTAAGAACAACCCTTGTCTGGGCTTCAGTCTTTTTCTTCCATAGTCAATTAATGTAGTTTATAGATGGTTAGCTCCGTGCCGGTCTGATCCATGTCCCATGATAGGTGATGATTTTGTTTTCAGTCAGTAGTTTGTAAGAATTCCTTCTTTTCCTTGGTGTTGACTCGTTTCATAGAATGTGCCTAGATGTATCTTTCCACGTAACATGGCTCTATCTTCAACTGTCTTTTCAACGTGGAGAGGTCTTCCCTCAAGTTTAATATGTTTCTTTAATATGTTTCTTAATATGTAAGTTATTTACAAACTTACTCGTTTTGCCTCTTTTTCTCTTCCAGTGCACCTGTTAGCAACATGTTCTATCTCGTCGATGTATCCATCACTCTCCACCCCATCACCCTTACGTTTTCCTGTGTACCCCAAAGCTTTAGGGTTTTCATCTTGGGCTTCTCTCTTTCTAAGATTGATTGCAGGACTCACTGCTCACCCTCCACACTCGTCCTTCTCCTCAGTCTCAGGTCCTCTTCATATAATCACTATCAACAGTTCATTCTTATCAACGTCAGATAAGACTTTGCTCCTTGGGGCCATTAAGACCAAAGCCTTCTTGCCTGTCTAACCCCTGAAGGCATTTGAGTTTGTGGCTGAATAACAAAAATATGGAAAAATCAATAAAAGAAAGCCAGTTCCCTTTTATGATCAGGAGAGGGAGTCCATAAAAACACACGTGAAATAACCGGGATAATGTTGCCCAAACATAACTGTTTAATATTCTCTGCTGCCTCTTCACGTGTGGATAACCTCAGAGCTCATGAGAAAGTAAAACAAGGGTACATTGTCAGTGTAGCGTTGAGATTATTGCAGTCGTTGTTGAATTGTACAATACAGGACTCAAACAAAAAAGGCCTAATCTGTGTTCGTGGCACTCTACATAAACTCTTCTGATGGAATTGTCAAGGCTCCAACTGCTGAAGTGCTTTTCTTTTAAAATTTGAGTGAATAGTTTTAATTTTTAATGAGCTTATTGATGCCTATTTAAAGTAGCATCCAATTCGGATTTCTGACTTTCTTTGTCTCTGACTGTTTTTTCTAGGGTCAACGTCTTTTTGAAAAGCTGCTTCAGCTGACTTCGCAAAATATTGAAATCAAGCTAGTGAGTGATGTAACGGCTAATTCAAAGGTATTAGAAGCCTTGAAATTAAAGGGTAAGACCAAGGTTGATATGCTACTCTACCACTGGGTATTCTGTTAAGATACCTTTAATTTCACTTAATATGTAATTTCTTTATAATTAATACATTTCACTTAATGTACGTCTTATTTCTCCTTTGACAAATAGTCTGAGTAAAGCCTGTAGATGAAAGAACTAATTAATCAACACTATTGGGATTTTTAATAGTGTTGTTGCGTATTAGTTTATGCAAAATAATCTGACCATTAAACGATAATTAACTAGAAAGAAGAATCTTTCCCTCCTGGAACATTTCAATGATGTGATGAGAGAAAGAGCCGCTTCTGATCAGAATCAACATTGGAATTCCTTTTCTCTCTTGCTCCTCAAATGAACACTGTTCTCCTGCTGCACAGAATTTAAAGGGGTGTAGTCAGATGTCAGAGTCTGGGAACCTCCCTGATTCACCACCGTCTAAGATCATTTCACGGGAGAACATCATGTATCAGCCACTTTGCAGCTTGGCTCACAGTCCCGTGAAGACAGAGAAGAATTCTGCAATCCTTTTCCTCATTTTGCTATGATCTTCATTAACTGAACTCTCACTTCCATATATTTTTACTGATTCATCAAAATTTTTACCCAGAACTGTAAGCCTCTGAAAGGAATCAGCATGCATGAGCCAGTGGGAAAAATGTTCAAGCTGCCGGGCGTCCCCAGGGCAAGACAGACATTGGCCTCAGTGAGAACAGCGTTTCATCGATGGCCTCATATCTCATGTTGCTGCTGTTTAAACATGCTGGGCATTTTGCTTGTCATCTTCCCTACATATTATAAATTATTAATATTATATTTATACTGTTATAGGCACTTGTACTTCTCACCATGCATGTTCTCTTTCTAGGAAAATAAAAAAATAGGAAAATAAAAAAAACATGAGATATGGCTAGGTCTGAAAAGCTCCACTCTGACAGCACTTTTGAAAAACTAGAAAATGCCTGGTTTAGTGGATTGACAGATACAATCCACATGGATCAGATACGGATTCTTACTTTTTCCATTTAAAAAACGTGAAATTGGCTTCCCACTATCTGAAATTTTGTTATCTGACGCATTTCTGAAAATGGATTCCTTTTGGCTAACCCTGGGTACCTGAATCTGCAGATAAATTTTCTCCTGGAGCCTATTTGCGAGTCCTTTGGGTCTGATTATTCGTGAAGGGTAGAAGGAAGACGAGCTAGGAAGAGGGAAGGGGCAGAAGAGTTCTGTGATTTCTCGACTGTACATCCGCAAATCTGTTTTTGGCCACAGCTCATCTGCAATGTTGTCAGCACAACCAAAGTTAAAACTAGGGGATGCTAGGGGGCGTAACCGCCTTGCTTGGGTCCTGCTGAATATTTGACTACTCTAGATAGGAAATAGCTTTTAATGGATTTGTGGCAAAGGCATGCTTTGCATTTCTGTTGTGAACTATGAATTAAAACTTCAGTCAGTCATTGCTTCTCACAAAAAAAGAAGTGTTGGAATTTCACAAGCGTATGTATATGGTACTACAGCTTAGGCTCTATTATTGTATAATAGTTCTTATCAAATTAAGAAAACATTACATTACCTGCCCTGGCTGGTTTGGCTCAGTGGTTAGAGCGTCGGCCTGTGGTCCGGAGGGGCCCGGGTTCGGTTCCCGCTAAGGGCATGTACCTCGGTTGCAGTTCGTCCCTGGCCCTGGTTGGTTGTGTGGGTGGCAGCCACTCGATGTGTCCCTTTCACGTCGATGTTTCTCTCTCTCTCTCTCTTCCTCTCTTTTCCTCCCGCTCTATCTGAATAAAAAATGGAAAAATGTCCTTGAGTGAGGATAAAAAAAAAGAAAGAAAGAAAACAACTTATTTTTCTCTAAGAAGATGGAGCAGGAAACAGGACCCAGACTTCTCATAGCTGTTTCCTAGGTCCCGATCAGAGGCCCGTCTGGCTTGTAGAACCTACATATGGGCATACTGCATACGTCTTTAAAATACAATTGTATTTCTCGACTCTCCTGCTCTGGCAAAGACATTACATAATAATGATTCTGGAACTATTCTTTATGAAATATTTTAAATCTGTGTTTGAAGACCTTTCTTTAAGATTATCTTCTAATGTTTTTAGGGAAAGATCCTAGTCTTTGTGTGAAGTCCCAGGAAGATTTGTCCAGAAACAGTCCACGAAAGACAGATAAGCACAAGGCAGCCGGGAGCTATGTCTTTTAGTCATAAGCAGAATATCATTTCTCAATAATACCACTGTATGTTTAAGACTTCATTTTCTAGAGCCGTTTTAGGTTCATGACAAAATTGAAAGGACAGAGATTTCCCATATGCCTTCTGCCCTATTGTTGACATCACTTACCCAAAAGGCCCCTTTTTTCAATTTTTATTAACTTATTTTTGTTATAGATGTTTCTCCTTTTTCCCCCTAGACACCCTCCTCCCCATCCTGCCCCCCAACCCCCAGCATTGTTGTCTATGTCCATTGGTTATGCTTATATGCATGTAAGTTCCATGGTTTATCTCGTTCATCTCCCCTGTCCCCCTACTCTGAGGTCTGTCAGTCTGAATCACACTCCTTTCTATGTCTCTGGGTCTGTTTTGTTCATCAGCTTATTTTGTTCATTATATTCCACAAATAAGTGAGACCATATAGTATTTGTCTTTCTCTGATTGGCTTATTTTGCTTAGCATAATGCTCTCCCGTTCCCTCCATGATAAAGGCCACCCCCCCTTTTTTCCCCCCAAGAGTTAACCTACATTGATACATCAGTCCCCCAAATTCCTAGTTTTAAGGTTCACTCTTGGTGTTGTACCTTTTATGATTTTGGATGAATGGGTAGTGACATTTCTGCATCATTATAATAGCAGATAAAGGATCTTCACAGCTTCTAGATTATGTTTTTGTTTCTCGTGCTTAATAAGAAAGAGACAAACCTTACGAAGAGAGGAACTCGTAGAGGAGCTGTGAGTATTCGGTGTCACTCGCTGTGGGTGGGAGAGGAGATGTTAGTTGAGTCACCGAGGAAGGGGGCTAGAGGAAAGTAGCTCAAAAGGAAAAAAAAAAAAAGTTAAAGTATGGTAGAAAAGAGGGAAGGCATAGAAATTACAGGGAATTTGAAGGTTCATGCTGAGCAGAGTGCTGGGAACACAAAAACAGAACTTTGCGTCTTAACACACATGACTGCTTCAGGGCATTGATTAAAAAAGCAAATCTAGCCCTGGCCGGTTTGGCTCAGCGGTGAGAGCGTCGGCCTGCGGTCCAGAGAGACCCGGGTTCGGTTCCCGCTAAGGGCACGTACCTCGGTTGCAGTTTGTCCCCGGCCCTGGTTGGGTTGTGTGGGTGGCGGCCACTCGATGTGTCCCTTTCACGTCGATGTTTCTTTCTCTCTCTCTCTTTCTCCCTCCCACTCTATCTGAACAAAAAATGGAAAAATGTCCTTGGGTGAGGATTAAAAAAAAAAACAAATCTAATCAGGGTATCAAAATGGCAAACAGACACTGTCACAGAGGTGCGCGCTCCCCTCCACGATGCATGCAGTGACTGTTCGTGTGTGGCTTCTGCCAGCAAGGCGGGACCCGCTGGAGTCAGAGAGGAGGCCTGTCTCCTTCTCCTTGGAGGGTGGTATGTCACCAGGCCCCTAGAAATCCTGAGGCTTTCAGAAACAGTTTTATTTATTCCTCTTCTGATATTTATACCTGTGTTCCTCTTCACTTCTTAAAGGACCTGCTCTCCAAACTCTAGTATCTCTGGAAGAGCAATGCATAAAGCCATCACCACTGGGTCGACGAAAGAGAATCCTCCTTACTTCTGTATGTCACAAGGCTGATTACGCATGTGATTTCCCTTAAAAATGCCCTGCCTGCTGAAGTTCTTGTGCATTAGGGATAAAAATAAAACCTCTAGCACAAGATTCTGTGTTTCAGAGGAAACACATGACTGGTCCAAGTACATGGTGCCGTCTGAACCCTCCGAGAGGCTGAGCGCATGGAGCGGCAACTGGTCCGGGTGGAGCACAGTCTGAAAAGACAGATGGAAAATTCCTATCACAACCTGCAGCCAGCCAGAGGTACTGCCCCGCCGTAAAGGCAAATGAACCAGCTGCATTACCAAGATGATCTGTAACGTGATTAGCACTGGGACTTCCTTTCATTAGAAAAATCCCAGGGCTGGCTGTGTGACTTAGAAACAGAAATGAACTCAGCCTGGACCAAGAGGCGCTGACGAGTCAGACACAGAAATGACACACCTAGGTGACAGGCGGGGCTGGATGTCATTTATTGACCAGATGTTAGGAGCTAGGTGCCTGCACCAGATGTTTTCATAGACCGTCTAATGTAATTCGCAGAGCCCCCGAGGCTGTTATCCTGTTTTCCTGAAAGGCACATTGAGGTTCATAGAAAGGGAGTAACTTCCCCGAGGTTGCATCAAACAGTAAATGAGCCCTGGCTGGTTTGGCTCAGCAGTTAGAGCGTCAGCCTGCGGTCCAGAGAGACCTGGGTTCGGTTCCTGCTAAGGGCACGTACCTCGGTTGCAGTTTGTCCCACGCCATGGTTGGGTTGTGCGGGTGGCAGCCACTCGATGTGTCCCTTTCATGTTGATGTTTCTCTCTCTCTCTCTCCTTCCCTCCCTCCCATTCTATCTAAACAAAAAATGGAAAAAAGTCCTCAGTTGAGGATAAAAAAAAAAAAAAAAACAGTAAATGACAAGTTCAGAATTTTAGCACAGGTCTATATGACACCAAAGTACAAGCTCCTAAATGCTGTGCTAATTACTATGCAAATTATTATTTAAGTATAATGTGTCAAAAGAAAGTCCTGCCTTGCTGCCAAATATTTGGTATTCTATAAAAAAAGGTAGAAGACACCGCTGGTGTGACTCAGTGGTTCAGCGTCGACCCATGCACCAAGAGGTTACCAGTTCGATTCCCAATCAGGGCACATATCCAGGTTGTGGGCCAAATCCCCAGTTCAGGGCATGCAGGAGGCGGCCAGTGGGTGTTCTCTCTCATCG